TGTTGTCTCAACTGTTGGTGTTTGAGTGTTTATAAGTTGAAGATATTGTTTGGCATTTCTTTAATATGAGTCTAGATACTATCCCAAGATATTGTATCACCTTCTTCCCTTGCTGTCTGAGCAATATTATTCAGTAAGGGCAAATGCAGTTGCTGCAGGAGCAGAGGTAATATGGCGGTACTTTGATTCCATTCCATTAAAACAGGTAACTTCCAATTTGTTTTATAAGCTACCCCAAATTTCATTTAAATCAACATTTTCTTAGAAACTAAATAAAAAAGTAAATACATTGTATTTTCCATGACTTGTTTGGAAATTTTATTTCTGTTAACTTCTATCTAAACTTCCCTTTAATTTGATTCATTTAATGAGTTTACTTTTCTAAATTGTTTCAGTTCTTGAAAAAAAAAAAAAAAAGGACCATGCATAGAGTCTTCTTTTATCTATTGATGTATTCGTAATCCTGTATCACCACTGATGTACTAGCTAGGCTGTAACTGCTTTTGAGAATGTCCAAATTGCTTCCTTTGCTTATTGCTTTATCCAAATGGTTTTATTCTCCTACAATTCTAGTCTAACTCATTGACTTTTGGAAAATGTAATTTAGATGCTCAACGCACTCCCTCAATTGTTGGATATATTTTCTCAAGTTTTACTTTCTCCTATTGAGTCCGGAGAAACGAAAGACATTGTACTCAAAGCATGGCGTCGGCTGAATCGCTCCCTCCCTCGGGATGAAATTGAAACGCTTTTGGACAATCTCCCTACCATTAAGAAAAATGAATTGATGGATCAAATGATCCCTGTTTTTGCTGAGTAGTTTTTTTTTTTTTTACGTTTTCTTTTTTATTTTATTTTTAACCTTTCTTGCTTTCTGGACTTATGCTTGTAGCTTTGGTGGACTTGTATGAAATTGCATCTTTCAGGTCAAAAAAAGAAAAAAAGAAATCATGCACCATATTTTGGTGGCTACTATTTGAATCTTATATTGTGGTTTGGGTTTGACTAAATAGAACGATTTGATATTAATTAAATACCAACCCACAACAACAAAAGTATTTGCAAATATACAAGTGATTATCATACTTTAAAGCATGAAGTTGTTTTGTCATCATTTAAATATTTTAATATAAAGTATATTTATGCTCATCAAAGTAGTTCAAAAATACCATGTTTTGATTAAGTTGGTTACTTCAAACAAGAAGTTATTTTATTTATTTATTTTTTGCCATAATATAAACAAGAAGTTCATTAACGTAATTTGAACTATCTTAAGTCTCTAACTGATTTTTGATCAAATAAATGGGAGAAAGATTACAATTTCATCTTGAACAATACTGTTAATTGATTATTGTAAGATAGATGAGATTTTTTTTTAAGAGTAATATATCAATATATAATAACCAAATATCTAAGGAAACAATAGAAAAGACAAGAACATAATGATGCTAGCCGCGCTTTGACGACATTTCTATTGGTGGCATTTTTGGGAAACAACATCGCATAACTATCACCAGTGCAAATTTTTTAAACAAATAAGTAATCTATTTTTATTTTCGCGAGCACCCAACAAGTAATTAATATACTTCTGAGCATAATAATATAATAATATTTTCCAGAATATTATAACAGAAATTGAGGAATTTAATACATTTATATATTTAATATGAGTATAATATTTTTGAACAATTAAAATCTATTATACTTCTTTTTTTTCCAGAAAAATCTATTTTACTTCAATTATTTGAATATTTGTATATATGAGTGTTTAAAATATACAGGAGTAGTGTGGAGTAGAATATTCATATGTGACATGTTTATGCATATATGGCATTTCAGCGAATATTTAATCAATAAGTATAAGCAATAAAATAAAAGTTCAATTTAAAGATCTCTGTCTTCAACTATTTCTTGATCATTAGAACTAAAAGATACTCCCTCCATTCAAAAAAAAAAATACAAGATATTTTTAACCAAATCTTACCTCTAATAAAATAGTTACTTGTTTTTACATTAATCCTATCTTTCCTTATTACTCCAATTTAATAGGGTACTTTACTCTAAAAAGATACAAAGTGATATATTCAATAGGGGCACCTTTTTTTTTTTAAAAAAAAAGTAATGATTATATCTTAAAAGACTAAAAATATCTTACATATTTTAACATTCAACTCCTCAAAAAATACCTTATATTTTTTAAAGGAGAAAGTATATCTTTGTTAATATTTCATATGAATATTAATAATAAAGTAATAGTGATAAATCACTATAAAAAATTATTAAAATAGAGATAGAAATTAAAGACGGCCTAATTATCATCTCTAATAAAGAAAAAAAATAGAGACTACTTATATTTTAGAGACAGATTTAATTTAAAAAATATTTTAAAATTTAGAGATAGATTTATAGATGACTTATATATGTTTCTAAAAAAAAGTATCGCAAAATCCGTCTTGACTTTTGTCATTAGTCATTAAAAATTAATTTAAAAAAATGTTAAAGACAAGTCTAGAGATGAATAAATTTCATCTCTAATATTAATTTTACATTTTTAAAAAAATTTAGAGATTGAATTTGAGACATATTTTTTTATGAATTTAGCAACAAAAGCTTAACCATCTCTATTTCCCTCTCCATATATTTTTTAAAATTTTATTTTTATTAATTTAGAGACGGAATTAGAGATATCTGAAATAAATATATTAAAAATAAAATTATTATCTTTTCTTAACATGTCTCTAATTCAATGTAGAGACAGATTTAAAAACAGAGCCATCTTTTAAATTTTTTTAATTTTTGGATTATCAATTGTTTTAAAACATGTTTGAAATATATTAAGATGCAACTTAATTTAAAAGATGTAGAAAAACTTTTATCATTATTTAGTGAGCTTCCCATTCAATGTGAACAACAAAAATTTAACATTTTTGTCCAAAAACATTTATCTTTAAATTATAGTGTTTGAAAATGTTTTGCATGTTATTTAAATCTTTCCCTTCTTCCTTCTGTCTTTCTCCAAGTTTATATATTCTCAATTTTTAAATTCACATTTAGTATTCATTAATTTATTTTATAACCATAATTAATTAATTTTTTGTCTCTTTTGTGTTATTCATATTTTCCTTCAATACTTTTATAATATTTAACAATCTTTTTCCAAATAACAAAATTGTGTTAAAAGAAGTTACTAACAATATTTTACAACAACACATTAAGATAAGAAAATTAAATTCAAAACTCCAAAAAATTTATGGAATTGAATATTTATATATATAACATATTTATAAGATTTTAAATTTTAAATTTGTTCCATATTAAATAATTTTGATAAAAAATAATTTTTTATAAAATAATTTTAAATACAAAAATTTATATAAATGTATTTAAATTAAATATTCCATTTAAATTTTTATATTTTAAAATTTATTAGTACTTATTAAAAATTAAAAATTAAAAATTGTTTAAAATGACCATTAAAAAAATTTATATGGTCAAAATTATTTTTTTAAATAATTTTAAAAATAATTGAAAAATTATAGATAAAATTTATGTGTAGGAAAAGAATGGGAAACATTTAACCATTTTGGGAGAAGATAAAAATTTAATCATTTATTTATTAATTTTTGAGAATAATATGGAGAAGATAAAAGTAAAAGATATTTAATATAAACTAAAATAATACAAATTTTAAATAAATTATATATTTAATTATTTTTATTTTAAAAATAATATTTTTATATTAAAAATTTGTTTGGTTTTAAGTTCATTTTCCCAAAAAATAATATTTTGTTAAAAATATAATATAAATAGTCATACAAATAGTTTTGTCATATTAATAATTGAAAATATAATATATATCTATATATATATATTTTCAATAATATATTATTTTATATATTTGTATTTAGTTAAGTAACATATATTTAATTTCACATAAAATAATTGCAAGTACATTTTAGATCAATTGGAAAAAAATGAGGCTTAAGGCTTGGAAGGTGGGAAGTCAAGGGATCAAATATTGGCCTTAACATTTTTTGTAACAAATATGTGATGTTGCACATGATGGTGGTTGACATGGCATGGCATTTTTGTAACAAATATGTGATGTTGCACATGATGGTGGTTGACATGGCATGAGCTGACAACATGATGCGTGACATGGCATTGGTTGACACATATGGGCAGTTGAGTTGGCATATCTAAATGCACACGTGGCTGGTGAGGTGTCAAATAATGTGGCATTGGCTAATTCATACATGGCGGATGACATGGCACTGACATGGCAATGGAGACCTAAGGAATTTAGTTTTCATTTTTTTAGAGACAGATTTAAAGACTATTTTATTTTGTCCCTATCATTTTATATAATTTTTAGAGTACTTTATAGCAATGGATTTTTCATGAAAATTAGAGACGGTATTTTTTATTCAGAGATACAATAAATCTGTTTCTAATCAGTAACGGCTTAAAAAATCTCTCTCTAATTATTTAGAGATGCCCCTTTTTAAGACACCTGGATATTCATCTCTAAATATGTCTCCACTTGTTTGGAGATAGATTTTTCATTAGTTGGAGACAAATTATTGGGTGTCTCTAAACAATATTTTTTTTAGTGAATATTATTAAAAATATAAATAACATTATCACTAACCCATGACAACCTTCAATAATGTCTAAGAAATATAGAGTAATATGTTAGAGTTACAAAAGACTTGGTATGAACCAAATTGGATATGGCACCTCAGTGAAACTTGAACTTTCAAATGTATAGTAATCAGTCATCTTATCAATCCTACAATGCCTCTCAATTCTCAAGCCTTCCCATTTGTCTATGATACCCTTAACACATGGAAAACGATAGGCAAAATAGATACAATTCCCCTTGATAAACTCTTTAGGGCACTGAAGAGCATCATTTGACACTACAAAACACTTCCAAAACCCATTGAACAATGTACAATTTCCCAAGTTCTTAACTTCTATCCATCTAGGTTCTTTACTCATATCCAACTTAACACTCGACTATCCACAGTCTTGGGTGGATTGGTATACTCCTTTCTTGCTGTATCATTAAGCATTCCCTTCAACCTAAAGATTGAGTTGCAAACCAAATAAATAAGGAATAACTCTCCTGATGAAGAATCAACCGCCAAAGTACTAAGAATGTCACCATGAGCTTCCCAAGAATTAATAATGCAACCATCACCATCATAAAGGAAGTCAAGAGGACTCATTTTCTGTCTTATTATAGCAAATCCTATTTCAAGAAGCCTTGCTAATATTCTAGGTTTTACGGGTTCTTTTTGCAAATCATAAAAAACTATAGAATTTAATACTGAGTGGGTCAAAGCATACAATTTTCCGTCAATAATCTCTACATGCAAGAATGCCAATGCTGTAGACACATCTTCAATGATAGTCCATGACTCATTAGTAATCCAACTAAATGCAAACACAAAGTGACGATAAAAGAGACACACCACAACACAGTTTGGGTCATTGGGTTCTGTTGATGCCACAATACTCTCAATTTTACTTTTTACTTTCAACCTTGATGACATATAGACCTTAGCATTTGTTATGGGGTTGAAGAAGAAGATTCGTGCATCAGTTTCTTGAGCATTATCAAAAGAATTGTTGATAGATTCAACCATGATCATCCAACCTTCTATTGTGCCATAGCAATGATGGAAGAATTCGTGTGGAAACCTTGTGGAGATGAAGACTCTTCCTCTGGGCAAGTCGAAGATGGGAAGGTTTTCCATGTCAATTGTTTGAAGAAAAAGAAGTGACAGATCAGGTGATGGAAGACAATGTTTGTTAGCAATGCATTTAATAATTGTGGATCTCCAACTAAAGCATAAATATAGGGTTTGAAGGTAATCAATGACCCCTAAGTGTTTTAGAATGAAACCCAAAACATCATTCCGACTTGTGACCATTTGTTGCAAATGGCTCCTCCTTCTTCAACGTTCATTTCTCTTTTCTCATCACCATCATCATCGCCATCATCATCATCATCTAGAATTTTCAACCTTTTGTTGTTGCTACTTCCTTCTTTTTTAACGTTCTTTACTCTCTCATCATCATCTTCAATATGTGCATTTTCGTTATTGTTGCTTCCATCTACGTTATTGTTCATTACTTTTCTCTCATCATCATCACATGCAATTTGCACCTTTCTGTTGCTGCTACTTCCTTTTATTGCTCTTCCCTCATCATCACCACCTGCATTACGTTCCTTTTTGTCGTTGTTGCTTTGTCCTTCTTCTTCTTTGCTATTCATTATACTTTAATATGACAATTACTTAGAAAAATACGGAAAAAACAACCTAGTATATATAATTAATGGTTTTGTTCATGTGAGAAAATCATTTTACGCACATGTGAGCAAGGATTTAAACTAACCAATGAGTCCTTCCTAGAAGTAAAGCATAGATAATTTCATTCCTTGTGAGTTGGGCAAATAAACCAAATTGTGTTTGTAATCATATCGTTCAAATGAAAGAAGCTAATTTAATTTTCATATCATAAATGCTTCGAGAGAGATCTTGGGTAAAGAAGGTAAATAAATATAATTACCAAGGTAGGAGATGTTCTATGACTGGCCACATACACTCGATCCATGGTAGTTTCTTGCCACTACTTTCTTCTTGTGTGCTGTTCATTATGCTAGAAAAACAAGATATAAAACATAAAAAACAATATATTACAACTAAGGTTTGAGTTACATAAAAAAATCAAAAGTTTTTGAACATGATGTGCGGGGTGAATTTAAATTAACAATTTATTCTCTCTAAATTGTGATCACTTTCATGACTAAACATATTTTAGTGGTATCAAGAAGCTTATCAAATTAGAATATACAATACTTTCTTTGATCCTCAATATAAGACATCTCATAAAAACTTTATGTAATCTTTACTACAAAATATCTTATAAAACTTGATGGAAATAATAAAGAACCATTTCTAAAAATGCCCATATAGCAATTGGTTCATACTTCATTTGGGTTGCTTGTTTGAATTTGACTTCAAGATTTAAAGATGAAGTTAATAATTTTAATTAACCATTTTTTTTAAAAAATCAAAACTCCTGACTAATTATAAACAATTTTTATTAATCCACGTAATTTAATTAAAAGCATATTCTAAATAGGACCCGGAATGTATTTTATGCTGGGGTCGTTTCTGAACATATAAAATTCATTTGTTTAAGAACCAAAAATCAAAGAAAATAAAGATGGCATAAAGATGCTTTGAAGAACAAAGAAAAGGTGATCGTAGGGGAGAAAGAACTAAGAACAGGCCCTGTGAGAAGCAGAGGCGCCAATGGATTCCACTAGATGTCAATTTTCGTTATATGAAGCAGAGATAAATGAAGACAGTTGAAAAAAAAAAACAAAAAAAAAAAGCCTACAGATCTAATGAAACTGCATATAAACGCAAAGTTTAGCACAGATCAGAGATGGTTTGATGGAGAGAATTGAAAGTCGCAAGAGAGGAAGGCAAAAACAGATCATACCTTCTGCTTCTGGGTTGTCTCTCTGCCTTTGGATCTGCGCTTTCCTCTCCCCTTCCGTCTCTCTCACTCTCTGGTCATCCCTCTCTCTCTCTCACCCAAAATATCTTCAAGTCTTTCCAAAATCTTATTATTTATTTCTACGGATCCCTCTTCCTTTGCTTTTTATTCAGCGGGCAGAGTTATTTGAATTGGAAAAATAATAAAAGAATAAAAGATAACCAGATTTTGCAAAATCATAACAGCATAATTCTATATATATATTCTAATTTAAACTTATTTGTTTCCGTTTTCAAAATTATCATTTATTTTTTTATTTTTAAGTCATAAAAACACATATGTCACATAATTTGTTTGTATTTTTTATTTTTAAATAATACGAAGATAGTTTTCTTATATTTTGATACAAAATTTATTAAAAAAATTTGGTATAAATGACGGGACAGGGTTTGTTTCGTACCGCACGTTTCGTGGAGGAAGGGAAAAGTGGGAGATCCCAATAATGATGGGACTTGGGAGGGGAAATTATTGTTAAAAACCCAAAAAAATATTTATTAAAATGATCTTAAAAATAATAATGATCGAGAATGACTAAATATTAAAATCTTTTGTATTTTCTCTAACCCACAATTGAATTGAATTTGACAACTGACAATAGTAAATAAATATATAATACTGGAAATCAAAGCAAATGCAAAATTTAATGTGTCTTAAAAATTCGCAAGTTTGAAAAGAAAGGAGAGTTAAATATTATTAATATTTGAAAAAATTAATTTACATATTCTGTCCTGATAGCTTATTCAACTTTAAATTATTAATTCTTGTAAGGTGAAGAGTTCTTTTGTTTTAATTTATTTTATAAAACAATCACTTTTTTTTAAATCTATTTCATGGGTGTTTAGAATGTTTGTTTAAGAACCCATTTATTTCAGTTTATTTATAAAAAAAAACTACTTACTTTTTTAAAAAAATCTATTTTATGAGTATTAATTATATTTATTTAAATTATTGAAAATAATTAGAATCCGACAAAAGTAGATTCCTAATTATTTTTAGAAAAATACTTTAAATAGCTCCTAAAAAAAATTTGATGCATTAAATGAAAAGAATGTTTTAAAAAAGTAGGATAGGTGAGTATATCATAAAATTTTAAAATAGTTAAATAATAAATTATTTTTAAAAATAAACATCACGCCCCGAAAGTAGAGGACGACTGGCACAGGTATAAATCACTTCACACATTTTCATAAGCCTCAAAATGAAAATTCATTCCATTTTTAGAAAAAGAATTAATTAGATTATATGAAAATTCTAATAATTTCGATACTAATTGTCATAACAAAGTTTCAACATTTTTTTAAAAAATTTTAGTAGAACCTTCCCTATAAATAAGATCTCCCAAAAGTTTTACAATACAAAAATTTTACAGAATAAAGTATCAGTTAAAATCTTAGCTCCTTCCAGCCAACAACAATATATAAAAAAATAAATAAGTCCTAACAACAATCTATGTTGAGTAACTAATCTTTTTTCTAAATCAAAATACATAAAACTTAAATATTTACATCAAAAAGTAATAGTACCAAACAAAATTTTCACCTAATATAGCTATATTGCCCTTCAGAGGTCAGTAGTGAAATTAGCATCAGCTAATAAATCTGAGATCAAAATAAATTTTTCAGTGAATAGCATTCCAAAATAGAATTTAAAAGAATTAAAATAATAAACTTAAATAATAGTGTAAACTATTGAAAAGATGATAATTCATCATAATAAACTTATAAGTTTGTAAATCACATGTGTATTGTTTTAGCCTTCTAATAATAATTTATTTAGAATAAAATGTTATCAAACCCATATTCTATAACTTAAACATCTTGGGAGAGATAATCTACCATCAGCTTAAACCTATTTCTTGTATTACAAAAAGAAAAAGAAAATATTCCATGTTATTTTACACATTTTATTAAACAGAGAAGCACAGAAAAATAAATGAAATCATTCTTTATAATTAAATTTTGACCTCTAATTAAATTTTTTTATAAGATAGCTTGTTTATAATTTTATGCATCGTATTTTATAATATTTTTAATTAATTAATAATTAAAATTAATTTTTATTAATATTATACCTTAAAGAAATTACTCACATTTTTATTTATTATCTGATATTTTATTCTAGCAAGAAATTATTATTACTAGCAATGGCAATAGTAATTATGGGATAGGCTGACCGAAGTCAAAGATATTAGCACAGGAAGCAATTAATTAGGATTAGATCGTGCACATTCACATCAGATGGCTATAGGTTACTAGTATTGCTCATTAGAGAGCTACGAATGCGAGTTAGTGTGCAGAGTCTAAATAGGACCGAAAGAAGGTAATGTCATAACTATTGCCTGAAAGGCTAGATCTGTATGAACTTTATTACAACATTCCTTATTCGTCTTTGAGCCCACATCTAGCAATTACACCCCCATCACATCACATGAGTTATTTTGACAGTGACATTACACTAACTATTAATTAAATAAAATTGAAAAGTATTAATTTTTAAAATAAAAAATAAAAAAATATTTAATAATTAAGGTATTTAAATTAGTCCAAATAAATATAAAAATATGAGATATTTAAATTAGACTTAACCATATAAGTTTTTTTTTATAGATTCAAGTATTTTAAGTTTGATATAAATAAATTCAGCTCACAGAAATTAGTCTTATTTTAATTTTTTTTATAAAAATTTTTAAATTAATTTTAATTAAAATTATTACATTACTTTTAAATTTTACAGTCAAACATAATACCCAAATAAATTAATTGAATATGTGGGTATTTTGAAAAATAACTCATCATTTTTATCAAGTTTTATAAGGTACTTTATATTAAAAAGTAAACAATTTCTAAAAAGTGTCTTTTATTAAAGGTTGGAGGATGTATAATATTTTATATCATTTTTAAATATAATAATATTATATACATTATAAGGTCCAATGCTTATCTATTGAGAATCACATATTTTTAAGGAAAAATAATAATTAGGACTTTTTAAGAACATTAATTTCAAGTATAGACTGTGAAATTTTAAAATCTCAATTAAGGAAGGACCATATGATAAAAAAAATATAATTTGTGATGTGGGATTCACCAACGTGATTTGAGAATTCACTAATCGAACTTGAGAAAATTACTACGTATATTGTGAAAACATGAACCTCACTTGAAAATGGAATGTTTAAGAAAAAGCACCACATGGAAATTCACTACCTAGACTTAAAAATTTTCTAACGTATATTGTGAAAAAATAAAACCCTACTTGAAAATCATTAATAAAAAGTAACTTGTTCAAATTGGTGTTTTTTATTAAA